GTGGCACCAGCCACTGAGAGCATGAGCAGGATGTGACCCCTTCTCTTCCCTCCCCTCCAGGACAGAGGCAGCCAACAGTGTCCTGAGGCGCAGCGCCAGCAGAGAACGCGCTTACGTCCTCTCTGCAGCCAAGAAAAGCAGTGGGTGAGTGTGCAGCACGGGGCAGGGCTGTGGGGGGGCTCGCGGGGGGGTGCCCTGAGCCAGGCCTCTCGGAAGGGATGGGCTCCTTTCCGATGAGAGGAGAAGCCAGAGCTGCTTGATGCCTCTTCAGGAGTGCCAAGGGTATCTGCGCTCAGTGCAGCAGGCATTTGGAGGCCAGCAGTCAAGACTTCAGTGTTCAGACTCAGTTCTTACTGCTGCTCTCTGCAGTTTGTTGCATGCAGGGGGAAAATCAGAGCAAATACAAACTGCATCCACCATGGATCAGCTTTTTGCTACAGTTTGCCTTTACACTGTGTTTGGATGATAAGATTTACAAGATCCTGATCTTAGTTGCAGCTTCAGAATAGTTCTGTGGGGGAAAAAGAACCTAACAGTGATGTGGTGGTGTAACAGGAGTGTTAAGATGTGTGGGAGATACTTGTTTGGGGCTCTTTTTGTCCATCTCTTTCCTGGAAAGGGTAAAATGAAGCAGACTTCCAAGGTCTCTGACCCCCCGGGTGCCATCATGGCAGTGACTTCTGCAACTTGCTTTCACTGTAAATCCTTTTCCTCTTGACATAACTCAGGGTGACACAATGAGGCACTGGGAGGTTGCAAGGGCAGGAGGAAGCAGAGGGCATGTGCCAGCAGCACTCACCTGGGCCCAGAGTGGGAGAAGTGTTTGGATGGTGCTACAAGAAACCTGGAGAGGGGCTTTGGACAAGGGCCTGTAGGGACAGGACAAGGGCAATGGCTTTAACCTGCCAGAGGGGAGATTGAGGTGAGCTCTGAGGCAGAAGCTCTTCCCTGGGAGGGTGCTGAGGCGCTGGCACAGGGTGCCCAGAGAAGCTGTGGCTGCCCCATCCCTGGCAGTGTTCAAGGGCAGGTTGGACACAGGGGCTTGGAGCAACCTGCTCTAGCGGAAGGTGTCCCTGCCCGGGGCAGGGGTTGGAGCTGGAGGAGCTTTAACATCCTTTCCAACTCAAACCAGACTGGGATTCTCTGGGGTCCATGAGGCCATTAAGGGTGTTTGCACTGGCTGTTAGTTCCTCTGGGAGGCAGGTTTGTATGCAGGAAGAAAAACAGCCGTCAGGAAGGTATGAAATTAAAGAAGCCCTTTGGGAGAGCTTCTTTACTTCACACGTTGTAAATAGCTGCTCCTCCTGTTTTCATTTCCTCTGCTCTGTAATTTGCAGAGGTTTAACACACGTGGTCACTGCCAGCTCTGCCCAAAGAGTGTTACATGAGGCCTCAATGCCTTGCACCATCTTGGTCAGTTTGGGTCAGAGACTCTGTGGGCATCGCCCTGCCCAAAGTGTGGTTTTTACCTCCAAACTTTTAACTCGTGCCTTTGTGCTTCCTTTACAGCAGCCCAACACAAGAATTCCCACCCTTGTTTGCCAAGAGGTAGGTCACTGGCCCTCGGAAGTACTGCTGGGGTTGTGTTTGTCTCTGCTGTGCCAGGGATGCTCTTAGTGCTGGGACAGGAGATCCCGGGTGTTTCAAAGTGTAGGAGGGACACTTCCCTTTAAAAGGATGCACTGGCTTTTGAGAGCCCAAAGTGCTGGAAACACTGAGAAAACAGAACTGATGATGCTTTGGGTTGTGGGCAATCTGAAACAAGGAGGGACTCTTCACTGCCTTTCATCTTCCAGGGAAGGCTGGCTCCAACCAGCAGGGTGAATGCTCTTCAAGCGTTCACCTTCTAAAGCAGTGGGTGGGATGGGGAATGATGCCTTGGGCACTCTCTGGGATTTCAGCATCCAGCTGATGCTATTTGTAAAGCAACTGTGTCAGCAGAATGCCACTGTTCTCACTTCATTCAGCTGAGGTGCTCACCCATAGCAGTGCACAGGGAGCATGAGAAGCAGGAAAATCTGCCTCTGGGGTAAACAGAGGGAAAACCTAGTTTATGGGAAACAAGGATAAGCTGCCTGAGTCAGCAGTGGGAATAGGAAGCAGTGATATTTGTCTCTGTTTTCTTGCCTTTTGAAAGAATTGAGATAGAAGAGGAGGGACAGCAGAGGAGGAGTTCAGCTGGTTCCTGCAGGTTCACACCAGATGACACCAGGTATTTACCTCATACTGGAGCAGTGTGGTGGCTGTTTCTGGTTTCAGAGCACCTGATTTGCCATCTTTGCAGATAACTACATTTACCTGAAGGTAGCAGCTGACTGAACACAACTAGAGATGGGGGTTTTCAAAGAGGCTGCTCAGAAAATCCCATTTGTCCCTTTTTTTGCCAAAAGGGAAATATCCAAAATGAAAATGACATGGGCTGTCTTGGTGGAACAAACGGGCAGGCACAGGGAGAGGCACAAAGTGCCCAACTGACAGTCCTGGGGGTGACAAACTGCATTTAACTGCAGGCCAACTCTAATGTGGGTCAACCTGCCCCTGAGCCCCTCTCCTCATCACACTCCTCAGCCCTGATTTCACAAGGAGCTCACACCACAGGAATGAGCCTGGTGGCACTTCTGGAGAGACAGCTCCAGGAGGAGTCAGAGCAGCCATCAGATAGTGATGATCTTCCTTTACTCCCAAACGGGCTGTGTGACCTGACCTCATCACGTAGACATGAAATACTCAGCGCCTCGCTATGTGCAGTCCCCTGAGCCAGCTCTCTGCTTTCCTTAGAGTTAGATTTAATTATTCTGCTCTGATGGCAGCAGGGAGGTGTGAGCAGGGAGGTTTGGGAGGTTCATTAGCTTTAAATTGATCTTTGCTTCGATGGGAAATGCTTAGCCTGGTTTCAAGCCCCCAGCCCCTTTCACAGGCTACTGTGAAGCCCAAGTGTAGGCAGGAGCAGTGACAGACAAGCTGGAGCATTCTTTCTGTTGTCTATGAGACCTGGGGACAGGCTGTCTCTGGTCTGAAGGGGCAGCAGCCACACTGTCCCTTAGCCCACACTGGTCAGAACAGCAGCACGTGGTGTGGGGCTGAGTGAGATGCAGAAATGTTTGGCTGAAATGGAGATGTTTGCCCAAGGAGGGAGAATCATGGAATCATGGACTGGTTTGGGTTGGAGGGACCTTAAACCTCATCCAGTTCCAGCCCCTGCCACGGGCAGGGACACCTTCCGGTTGCTCCAAGCCCTGTCCAACTTGGCCCTCTCTGGATATTGGAACATGGTCTTCCCTGAGCCTTCTCTTCACCAGGCTGAACAAGCCCAACTCTCAGTCTGTCCTCATGGAAGGATTCAGAGAAGAATCCTCATAGGATTCTCCTATGTTTTCAAGCAGATCTGTTTCATCTGGGATTCAGCTCTGTGTTCCTGCTCTGAGGGGTGGCTTGTCGCCAGGCAGCAGCATTATTGACTTCTCTGCCACTCTGGTCCTTAGTGGGCCCAGCAGGGTGCTCAGTAAATGGGGCCTTTCAGCCTGAAACACTTTATTTTCAGGATGAAGGAGCTGCCTCGTGAATGTTGGTAGCAATTCTGTGCCATTGTGGGGCAGGTTTGAGGCAAGGCTGGGAAGCAGTTTTCCTCCTTCCCTCACAGGTCACACACATGCACATAGCAAAATGAATTTTGTGGGAGCACAGAGCTTTAATCTGTTTGGGGAGGTTGGATTTCAGTGCAAACTCAAATGCTGGGGCTAGAAACAGCTCTGGAGTGTTAAATAGGAAAAGACAGAGCCTTTCAGCAGAAAGGCAGATTCTGGTCACATCAGTGCAGGAGGGCATGGGGACAGCAGCACATGGGAGTCCTTGCACAGCAGGGTTTGGCCTCACTGCCAGGAAGCAGGCACCAGAGCTGTGGGCCAGACAAGGATTTGTCCCCCCCCACAGAAAGCACCTAAAAATCTTCTGGTTTTAATGCTTTGTTACTTGGTTGTTTTATTGTCAGTACTAATGGGCTAAGAAAAACCACCACGGGATCTTCTTGGAATGAGCCAAAGACAACAGCAGCGTCTCCCTCCAGGTAAGTGTTGCAGCACAGCCAAGAGGTCTTGGACATCATCTGCAGCTGTAGCAGCCCACAGGTAGCTGCGTGAGTCAAAGAATCCTGTGGGCACCCCTCTGGGGGGTGAAATGAATCACATTTGTCAGCCTTATACATGGGAGACTTTTCTCAGATGCAGGCTGCTGTTTTAAGGCAGGTTTAATGGCTGAAATCCAGGTGGTGTCCTGCAAGGATCTGACAACACCCTGATAAAAGTGTTCCAACCTGAAAGGAAAAACTCAAACTTGCCAAAATTCACCTCACTAAAGATGTGTAGGGGGTGATTTTCAGTTGCTTTTAGCTTTGGTTGACTTCATGACTGGGGTATAAAAATGTGGACCTGGGTTGCCACAGCACTGCAAAGAGCACTCTGCTTTACTGACCTGGTTCTGTTGGGTTTATTCTATGTGTGTAGTTGGCAGAAGGCAGCTGTTCCTGGCAATGCCAGTGTTTTAAGGTAAAAATTGCTTCTGATAAGATGTCTTTGTAAGTGAATGTATTGAAAAGTGATGTGTGTTTTCCATTTGATTCATTCATACATGAATGCAGGAAGCTTTGGGCAGCTGCAGTGGGGAGCTGGCTCCTTCAGCAATGACAGCTTCTCTCTTTGCCTTCTCTTGCAGCCCTGAAACAGGCACCAAGAGCCAAACAACTACATCCTTGAGGGAAAGTTCAGAGAGAATCTCCACTTCTGCTGAAATCAGGTCGGGCTGTTGGGCCTGCATCACCCCAGAGCTCTGCTAAGGAGAGTGAGGGATGTGCTGCACTTTGTGGTTTCCCACCACGCGATTGCTCTGGCCGCAGTGCAGTGCTGGAACAATAAATACCATAGCACTGAGAATCTGAGAAAGGAGCTTTACAAAAGCCTTAGAAATCTGGGAGGAAATACAGCCAGATGGAAGCTATGGGCCTCCCACAGCTTGAACATTACCCAGTTCTTTACGATGCTCAGAAATAGCAGAGCTTTCTATCTCCTAAACTGATCAGGATTTCATTTTAATCCAATCCCTGCATTGTAGGCAGCAGAGTTCCAACAAGCCCCTTGCCCCAAAGCTCCTATGCCTCACATTGTGTCCCCTCCTCTCCCCACCTAACCATTTTTGCTGTTTCCCTTGCAGAAATGGGGAAAATGGACAGGCCCCTAATGGGAAATCCTCATCTGAAACCGTGTCACAGCGTGGGGATGGGTAAGCAGTTGAGAAAGGCTGATCTGTGCTGCTGAATATAAGGTGTTACCCTGCTTTTTGCTCAGACACAACATATACCTGCTAGTGGTCTCAAGCAGATGGGATCTCCCCAGTCATGGTCCTGGGCTGCACTCCAAGAGCATCATCTGCTGGCTAAGCTGCAGCTTGCCAGCTTACTCTTCCTTCACCTCCTTCAAGGATTCTCCTCTCTGGATCAGTCCCTAAAGGGTCTACCTCATGCATTCACTCTTCTTATTACTGCTGCAATTGCCTCCTCACTGCTGTTCCCTGGGGAGCTTCTTTCTCCTCCAAGGGATGTGTTGAACCTTGGTTGCTGGTGGCTCCTGCTGACATTGATTCTGGACCTCTGCACCCTGTAGAAAGTCTGAAGGGGCAGCTGAGCAAGGGGAAAGTGGAGAAAGATCTGTTGTAAGGAGGAAAACCTGAGGAAGGAACTGATTGGGAAGCTAAAGGCATGGGTACAGGTGATGGGCATGTTAAGGGGCAGAGCTCTGACTTGAAGTTGAGGGCAGGGAAGCTTCTGGCTCTCCTGAGAGAGCGAGCGAGCACTCCTTCCTTGTACGCTTATGTCCAGTGGTCTTTATCCTCTGGACTGCACACAGGAGCATTTCAGGTACATAAAATATACCCCATATTAACAGGGCTCTTTTGTTCTCAGTGTTACCACCCTGAGTGTTTGGCTGTCTCTAGACTGAAGCAGCCGGTTGTACGTGTGGCCTCACCTTTTGTGCTGTTGGGGTTAAGCAACTACAGAAGGCTTGGATTGACCAAATGAGTTTCTGTAGCACATACAGTTAATTGCTGTCCACCTCCTTCAGTGAAGATAAAGCTAGAAATGTCCCCAAACTGATATCAGCAGCTGAAGCAGAGTCTGGAGTGCTTGAGAAAAGGTAGAGGCTGAACTATTGTCATGGTCCTTCAGCTGAGGCCTGTAAATATGTCTGTGTATGTCATTGCAGGGACAGGCTGATGACAAGGCACTCATTGTGCCTGGGGTCATGTGGGTCACATAACTGCTCCTAATTGTGAGGCAGAAATTAGAGGCTGCCTCATTATTGAAGCCACCTCAAACTGGAGAGGGAGTTAATTGAAGGAAGGAAGGAGGGGGATGCACAGCTTGAGAGGTCTGAGGGGCTGAAAGATGGGTGTAGGGTCTGGCTGGTGGACCTGTGGGGAGCCCTGTCTGACCACAAAAGAGAGAGAACAACTGTTGTAGGGTACTTAGGCTCACCTGAGCAAAGGGGTGAGCAGGGTCTCGCTGCAGGGAGCAGCACATCTCTGAGTAACCCATGAGCAGTGGTCAGGACCACGCTACTCAGCAGGTTGGCCCTTCCCACCCTGATATATTGAGTTAGCCTCAGTTTGTGCTCCTTCTGACTGTTAGTAGACTTTTCTAGTATGATGCAGTATAAATGCTGTCAGGGCATCTCTCACTGGCATTTTCCTTTTCCTAGTGACAAACCTCTGAAGGAAAAGTCCGAGCCATTCCCATGGGATGAACAGGCCCCCAGAGCAACTGTGGTTTCCACGAATGGAAGGTAGAGCTGGGGTGAAATTCCATCATTGACTTACATTTCCCCAGAGTTTCTTGCCAGTTTACCTGTAGAAATACACTGAGGAACATCTCTGGGAAGTTTTAGGTTTTTCCTCTCCTCTCTTTCATTAAATGCAGAAGAAAATCATTGTAGAAGATCACAAACCAAACCAAAGGTGCTTTCTAAAGTCGGTGTCTCTCCTTTTCAGTTATCCTGAACACACAGAAGCCAGCAACGGATTTTACCCACCAAAGTGAGTGTAAACCTACTAACAATGTAAAAATAACCTTTTCTCCTCAATTTTGGAGTGAGAAGGGTCTTCTGCTGACCTGGTACTCCCTAACAAACGTGTTCTGGGAGCAGCACTTGCAAAGGGGGCTGGACTTTATCCACCAGCTCAAAATGGGCTGAGATTTTTCCAGCTCTTTTCCTTGCAGTATTGTGAGTTGGTTGGATTTATGTCTCTGCCCTTCAGGTCTGCTGCAGGAGCTTTTGCAGGAAGGAGGAAAAGATGTGTTTAAGACAGGGAAAATCTCATGTTTGCTTCCTTCTGTGACCCACGACTCTCTTCTCTTGCCAGGTCCAACTCTGGTTGCAGGGACGTTGCTGCAGATGCCACAGACAAGCAGCACCACCAGTATGAGACCTCTCAGCACCTGGGTGATGCAAAGTCTGAACCTGGAAGGTCAGGGCCTGCTGCTGGTTCTCACAGTGCTGCTCACAGAGGGAAGATGTGGTGGGCAGAATAAGTAACTTGTCTGGAATAGAGCTGGAAGCAGAATGCAAATGGGGCACCAGAGCAAGGGGAGGCAGAAAATCCTGGGTGGTCACTGTTACACATCCATTACTTTGGGACTTGACTCCCTATGTTTGTTTACCAAAAGACTTGAGGGGAGCAAATGATGTCTTCAGATCTCCTAGGTGAGGTGAGGAGGGTCACAATGCTCCCAGTAGGATAAATCCCAAGACCTAGAGCTGCTGCTAGTAATGTAGGACCATCTTCCCTAAGTCATTCCTACTGTACTTCATCCCAGGTGCATGATCCTGTGCCAGGCTGGAAAAGTCTTGTATCCAGCCAAGATGTGTGTGAAGTGAAGCCTACAAACTGCACTCGTCCCACCAAAAGCCTGTATTCTCTTTGATCAGAGATAGTGACAATGGTTTTTTTCTGAAGGAAAATCAGTTCTCTGAGAGAATACCTCCTGTTTTCTGGTCTCGTATGAAGTGCAGTGCTGTGACTTCACACAAATGCCCTGGAAGCTGTTGGCAAGCTGTAAATTCCTTCTCTTTTTTGACAGGTCTAGCTCGCACTCTGATGTCCCAATTCCTCCTACTGAGAGCACCCCTGTGCAGCTGGAGGACACAGACTATTCCTTCAAAAGGTAAGAGTGGGGTACATTTAGTGTGAGCACTACTGAGGATTACCAGACATCTGAATGGGCAGGCACAGAAGGAGACCTCTTTTCATAGCTCTTGTCCCTGGGGTGAAGGCAGCTGAGGCTTAAAGCACAGCTTGCAAAATAGACCAAGAGATTTGTGTCATATCCCTCCTCCATCTTCTCTGATAGAAACCAAGCAGCCTCACCCCAGCTTTTCCTCTCCTTCTTGTGCTTGTGCTTGATGGGGTTCAGTTGGTACCTCCTCATTCACTGATAATCCAGTGAAGTGCTACAGTGGTGCAGCAGGGAGCTGAAAGGCAGCTGAAAGACACTGAAATGCAACTCTAGTCTAAATATGGTCCATAGAGACAAGTCCTGGTGGGGCAGTGAATGGTACAGACTGACACAGGCCTTACCTGGTGAGTAGATAGTGTGAGGATTCATGTGCCAGCTGTTAAAGGTGCCATGGGCCTTTCTTTGCTTATCAGATCTGTCCTGGGCTACGAGGAGAGAAGCAGCAGCACCCAAGAGAGCAGATACACGAGTCCTGAGGCCCCAGCGTACAGCAAACCATACTGGAAGGAAGTGATGTAAGGGCCTGCGGTGCCAGGGGAGGTGAAGCTCTGTGGAGGGGTATCACTGGCTGCACTCAGTGAGTGAGCCTGGCTATGAAGAACCCCTTTGGAATACTGGACCAGGAGGAACATTTCAAATTCAGCCTCAGGTCCTATCTGACACTGTACCAGATGTGATGCCTGGCCTGGCAAACACCACCTGATATATGATAGAGCCACAGTAAATAATCTGGTACCCTGCAGGTCTGCTTTCATGCTAGAAGAAAATATTGTTTGGGCTGGTATTTTAAAGAGCTGATTTCAGCATGTCAAAATGTTGCTGCTTGACCCTTCCACTGAATCCCAAGCAGTTAAGCAGAGCTTCGTGGTGTGCTGAAGTCAGTGCCTCACTGTGCTGGGTACAGCTTAGCCCTTGGCACCAAAGCCTCATGACTTTCTTCCTTCTCAGTGTGCACTGAACTGAGCTTTCAGGTGTTTGTGCCTGGCAGTCATGAGTGGGGTTTCTTTCCCTTTGCCAGGTCTTCCCAAGATTTCCAAGAGGGGAACACCCCTAGGGAAAGGGAGCATGAGAGCACAAGGGCCTTGGATGACCACAAACCAGACCTGATCCAAGAAGGGTGCCACTGCTGTTGACGCTGCCGTGTGTGAGTGGTTAGCAGTAATTGCCCACACTTCATAATTCTTCTTGTCTTCATCTGTTCCTGATGTAACTGAGACCAACTGCCCAGGGATCTCAGCAAGTACTCTCCAAGCACTTAGGAATGCTGCAGAATCATGCATGAGTGTGTCCCGAGGTAACAGAAGCATCTGTCACTCCAGGGAATTCTCACACGAGTGCTTTCTCCTGTGCCTAATGTTTTCCTTCTGCAACAGTCTCGGATGCAAAGCCTTTAGCTGCAACCTGCAAGCTAGCATGGGATTTGTAAGCGTGATTCCCATTAAATCTGGTACCTGGGCAGTTTGGAATAGCCCTGGCCAAACCATGGCTCCTGCTCCCTGCGTGATGGCTCCTGCCTAGGGAATGGATGTCCACCCATGTTTTATCTCCAGTGCCTTAAGCATAAATCTTTATTTTAGGTACTCAGGCTCAACCAACCGTACTGAGAAGGGACAAGAACCTCCTGCCCACACTGTCCACACGGAGCCTCACAGGTCAAGGGAACACACTGACCATGAACCCAGCATGACTAGGTAAGGAATCGGGTAGTTAAATGCAGTTTTGATGCAGGAATCCAAGCCAGTGCCAGATTTCCTACAGGGTATCAGTATTCCCAGAGGAACAGAAAAATAGAAAAATCAACCAAACTTCTCCCTGGGTTAACGTGGGCATGTGTAAGTCCAGAGTGGCTCTGCAGTGGAGTTATCTAGTGGATACTGTGACGGTACCCAAGAGAGGCCAGGTCATGCTCTTAGCAGTGTGAAATGTAACACAGAGGTATGGGATAACCCGTAATGGTCATAACTAAATGACCAGAATTAAACTTAGTGAACAGGTCAGTGATGCTCATCAGGAGCTTTACTTTTCACCTTTATTTTTTTAAAGCATCTGTATTTTCCCTCTTTTTTTTCACACCTCTTGGATTATCCAGCATATTCCCATACAGGGATGTTGCGCTTTCCTGGAGGGCAGGAGATTGGCCAGGGGCTGCAGCTGCATCCTACAGTAAGTCTGCACAGTGGCACTCCTCCAGACTGTAATGATCTTCTGCCTTGGCAGGTCCAGCTCTCTGCCTAGAGAAAGCAGCATCACTGCTCCAGAGGCCCCATGTGGAAATGAAGCTGACCCACGCCAGGAAAGGTATGGAGTCAGGGATCAGGCTTTATGGCTGTCTCCTACATCTTGTGTTCTCCCTCTTGCTCAGTTCTGCTCAGTTCTTGGCTAGACAATTCAGAAACCAACACAGCCTTGTGTGTTACTGGGTTTACTAATTGCAGTGGACAGGTTGAGACACAAGTGCTGAAGCTTCTAACAGGTTTTTTCCTCCCTGACCAGGATCACTCCAGCTTGGGAAGAACAAACCTGCACCACCACAGACAGTCACTGTGAGAGCCTGGGAGACTGGAGGCACAATGAGCCTGACCTGGTAGCCAGGTACTGTGGGACTGTTCCTTTGTTTCTCCCCATCAGTGGCTCTCAAATCCTTATCCTTCACCATTCCTGATTCTTGACACAAACCTGGCTGAAGCCCTGGGCCGGTGTACATTTGCTCAGCATATGCTAATCAGATGATGCTGAGAAAAGGAACATTGTTGGTTTTAGGATTACACACACACACACAGTTATTCATATTTCATTTCAGATAACAAATTAACTTAGATGACTGCTGAATCTTGCAGCATCTCATTGTGCTGGGAATTCAGCTCGTGTATGTGAGGGGAAGTAGGACAGACCTCTGTGTTTCCCTTGGCCTTAAGCACCTCCAACAACATTATGTCCCAGGTTTTCCTTGTTGCCAGTGAAAAGAGGCATGATCCAGCCTCAGCAAATTCTGAACACTTGTGTGAGCTGTTGTAGCAAATAGACATTGGCTTTATGGTCAAATTGGTTCTAATTCTTCAGCAGGTCCACCTTCAGCTCAGAGAGTGCTCTCAGTGGCAATGAGACCCAGCAGCCTGTGCTACTGTACATGGACCGCCAGCCCTTTAGCAGCAGCATGTCAGCACCCAGTCACAGGATACCATCCTATGTGGACAGCCAAGCCTTCAGCACCAGAAGGTAAGGGCCTAGGGATGGGGTGCAGAGACAGGGAATGCTGCTGGCACAGAAATATATGCCAGAAACTCTGGTCCAGGTACATGATTTTGTTCCCAGAGGGAGCAACAGTACTGGCAGGTCTCACAACACAGGGAACAGGATCATTCTTGGACCTGATGGGCTGAAGAAGGGATTCAGGAGATCCAAGCTGATAATTGCTCTGTGATACCAGAGAGTTCTTGGCAGGTTGTGTTCAGGTCACCTACACAGGACCTGGAAACCTGACAGATGTGTAGAAACCACATCTGCTTCTCCCCTGTAACTGCAGAGGTGAGGATTCGTGAGCAGTCTGATGGTTATTTCTCATGACCCTCAATGACATACGAGACAAGTTGTACACTTAGAACTACTATTTACATTGATATCTACATTCATATGATCTGAATGCCACTGACACCTCTTCCAGCATTTTTCAGTTGGTGTCACAAAGCTCTCACTTGCTTTGGGAGGCATTTGCAGACTGGGACTAGAAAAACCAGGACAGATCTTTATTGTATTTCATAGCCTGATGTCACCCTTGGCACTGTGTGGTGCTGACATGTCTCTGCAGTGCAGGAACCTTACACTTCGCTCCTGCCCTCAAGTTTATATCAGAGACCAAACGCATGTCTTGCCCAGAGCAGGGTTTTCTCATCTTAGTATGATCTCAGCCTGTCTCTCTTTCTCTCTTTCATGCAGCATTGATTTTCAGGGAATTTCAGCATTGTTGAACATTAAGTTATACAGTTGCCTGAAGCTTTAATCAGGATCAAATTGCTAGTATACAATATAAACATAATCTGTGCCCCAGGGCACCTGCAAGAAAGGAATGACAATAAGCTCTAAGCTCATTTTCTCTGCTGAAAGAGCCTGAGCTCTGCCCACAGGTTAAAGCCATTGCCCTGATGATTTCTGCCTTGGAAAAGGGAAGATGCTCAGGCCTGACACTGGATGGGTCAGCTGTCAGTATCTCACACATGTGGGTGGTGCAGGGGTTAGGTTTTGAGCCTGCTTTCCTAGCCCCAGAGCTTTGTGTGCATTCTGCAGGTACAGAACCAGCACTGGTGAAACGGGCAGAGCAGAAGGAGGATGCACCACAGTGGTGGTTGTGGGACAAACACTACTTGGCCACTGTGGGGACTCCAGGGTCTACAAGGGTAATCAAGGCTTTGTGTTTACTTGCCAGACCTACCCCAGAATATGAAGGGAGAGGTTATGATGGGAGCAGCAGCCCGAGGAACAGCAGATACGACAGTGCCAGTGCCAGAGGGCTCTGTGACTTCAACCCCATGGCTGGGAGGTAAGAGGGCAAAGGGGGGGCATCCAGGCTTCTTAACCCAAAGAACACCCCACTGCTACATTCACTCACTATCTGGAGTGTCCCAACCCACCTCTTACTCACTCCTTGGATCTAAGCATATGCAGTGAGGAGCTGTTTGCGTGGATGGCTGTGGTGTGGGGGTGATTCTGATGAGACATTTAGCCAAGATTCTCTTGTGAGAATCCCACACGTGCTCAAGTTCAGTGCTTGAGATTGTGTCACTTCCTTTTATAGCTACGACTCCCTTCCCAGAGACACCACCATGCCCATTTCCCAGAGGAGCCACAGGGTGCCGTTCTACATGGACAGCTTAAACTGTAACAGCACCAGGTAAATGGGCAGTCTTCACGGTTGTGAGGGAAACCTCCACGAAACTGTGGCGGAAGAGAAGCTAGGAAGCAAAGCCAAGAGCTGAGAGAAAGACAAGTGGTTTCCAGGGAGTGGATGTGTGATCTGGAGGCACAGAACCACTCTTAAACCATTCCTGGCAAAAGCCACCAGCACAGGGTCTGTGATACATCCATCCCTGGAGATCTTTCACCATGTGAGGTGCCAGAACAGAGGGACAGGAGAATGAAGGGCTGTTCCTGGCTGCCCTCCCTTGGCTAGAAACTGGCCTTTGCAGAGGCTACAGGGAAAAAGACAGCTAAAACCAAAGTGAGATGTCAAGAGAGAGGATCACTATCTCCAGAATATGAGTGATTAAATGAACTGGTTGCAGAGCGTGGCTGTTGGAAGGTGTAGGAGGTGTCCAGTGCAGAATACTATTACCCTGGGCTTTCTGCACTCCTTCATGGCAGTGTCAGTCCATCCACATGCATCTGACATTGTGTGGAGGCACTGGCTTAGCTCTGAGGTTGGGTTTGTGAAGGGGAATACGTTGTGGGTGTAAGCAGGAGGCACAAGATCTTTAGATAGCCTAGGGCTGGCTCCAGGCAAGATCAGCTTCACCCCTGCAAGGCAAACTCAACGGCTCTCACTGAGTGGACGGGCAGAGCTGTTTTCCAAAGACATTTTAGTAGCCACCTTTTCCCTTCTGCAGCTCCTGAAATTACTGAATCGGGGATGGTTATGCTGGGGATAATTATACTGGACTATGGCAAGTTCATCCCCATCTCCTCCTCTCCTGCAATATGTTGTGTGCCATTTCCCTCCACAGCTGCTCCCCTTCAGGCTTCATCATTCAAATCTTGTTTGATCTTTTCTCCCACAGCCCTATAAATGGGACTTTTCCAGATTGCTTCTCCAGGGAAGCAGTCCTGTTACGTAGCTTTAAAAAGGGAAAGGAGCCTTTTTGGTCAGCGATAGAGATGAATCCATCTGTATGGTTAAGGGCCATCATATTGCGTCTTCCCAACCTACCCTCCTAGTGGTCAGTCTTTCCTTGGCTACCAGCTGGGATCATGTCACAGCTCATGTCCCCAGCACCCACAGACTTTTCTCTCTCTTGCCAGGCTTCTGTCCAGTTCCAGTGAGAGGATCTGCACTCCAAACACTGCCTCACCACACAGCAGCCCAGCATTGGCCTCAGGGTACCAGCCCGACTCCAGCGCTGCCGCGTAAGGACCAGTGGGTTCTGATGCCCCTGCTGCAACAGAGGTTTTGCACGTGGCCATCCTGTTTGGTGAACACCAGCCAGGCTTTGCTGCTCTGGGCCACGGGACATTTCTCAGCCACTTATGGCTATAAGAGCATAGACAGAGTCACCCAAATGGGAGAGATGGGTTTAGTGCTTGTCTCCAGATGCCCTTTTGTAGAGACCAGGATGTAGCTCAGTGTGTGAGTTGTCTCTTTAGCGTGGCAAAATCACAAGTCCTCCATAACACATTGTAGCTGGAGGGATGTGATGGAGCTCCTCATGCCATACACACTCATCACGGATGTGGGGCTCTCACAAGACTCTCTCTTCTTGTGAGCAGTCTACAGCAAGTGGAGCCATGGATGTCGCTGGGGTGGGTGCAGGACCCTGATCTGTGCTGTGTTAGAGAAGATAGTGTCCCAGCACAGCACAACTGTCAGCTCAGGGCTGTGTCCTGGGATTTGTGGTCTCCACAGGCTCCTCCTCAGAGGTGAAAACCATCATCCAGTTTTTAGCAATTTAGAGAGGCGTTTCAAGGCAGCGAGAGGTCAGTAGAGGCTTTGGTGGGCAATATTTGGGTCCTACAGTCATGTACTGCAATACCCATCTGAGTAGGAGACTCATCTGAAACGCTTTATATGGGAAGTGTCTATGCTAAGTAACAAAAAAGCTTTCCTTTCTTAAGCTGTGCTATGACTTAGTTTGCTCATGTAGGGAGAGAGGATTAATCGTAGCTTATAGGGAACAACCAAAACACACCATGGAGAAAGAGGCTGATTAGTTCATTTCATGGCTGGAGGAAGAGCCGTGGGCACCGTGTCTCCCCTCGATCTGCACCAGACCCACAGACAGACAGATGGGGGCATGTCATTTTGAAATTAGAATTGTGAAGAGGGAGGAATATGCAAGAAAGGGCAGCTCTGTCAGCTAAGCCATCCCCAAAGCAAGCCAGCAGCGACTGAGAATGGATGACAACGCTGGAGATACTCCAGTGACAGCCACAGTGAGCAGTGCTGTGCCAGCAGAGCTTTACTGTTAACGGGCAGAACCACGAGCTCTCTAAATACTTATTGTCTGCATAATCCTGACATGGTTTGGAAAAGACTTATCCTTGCAAAACCAGGGATAACTGGATGAAAGGGTTGTATTATCCATCCCATTCTTTGTAATTAACTTGATTCGTTTCGGTGGGTTAATTACAGGGTTCTATTAGGTGTTATTTAGCAACAATGCTTGATATTTACTATTTATTCAAGAACAACAGCTTCTCACTCCGTGCCTTTTCATGCACGTGATGTGTCCAAGGGCACACATGTGGCCCCTTGCTCTGTCTCTCATTAGCTCCAGTCCTTTCTAATGCAAATGTTTCTGGTTGTTTCCATCCTTCCTAGAAAAGGGGTCCTCTTTGTGAAGGAGTACGTGAACAGCAGCGAGTTATCGGGCTCCTCGCGCTATGGCAGGTATGAGAGTGTCCACATCAGTCATGTGTCAGCATACATGTGCACAGCAACAGCGTGTGGCTTTGCCAGCTCACACACCCTGAGCAAGCTCACACTTAGTGCTGTGCCAGCGTGACTGGATTAGCCCCGGAGGAATCGTTGCATGGGGCGGGCAGGGAATCTGCTCTGGGGACCTCACCCTGCTGTCAGTCCTGTTGTGGAGACAGGAGGACGCCTGTCTCCCAACTCCAAGTGGAGGCATAACCCCCCCTCCAAGTGAGCCAGCCTCTAGGGTGAGTGACAGGATGAAAACACCACGCTGCAGTGTTTTAGGCTGCATATTTGGCACTGTCAGGCATCACTGTGCGTTTATACACATAAGCAATGATTGGAATTGCTGAGAAAAATGTGGAGGTGGAGGGTTGACACTAAAAGAAGTTATTTATGAGTCAGAACAAGTTAAAAGATGCCATTTTTAAGCTTAAATCTTCAGTCTTTTGTATTCTGCTCAAAGATAACTAAGTAAAGCTACTCCAGATTAACACCAGTGTGACCAAGAGCAGAATGTGGCTGTGTGTACCTCAGGCTTACCCTGACGTGGCAGGCAGTTAACAGGCAGCTCGATGCCTCCCTGCTGGCATTTGTCCTCGCAGTGCTGTGCTGGCATTACTGTGGTAGCTGATGACAGGCTCCATAAATCTCCAGCCTTTCCTGTAGGCTGGCAAAGCAGATGTCAGCAGCCAAAGATCAGCGTGTTGCTGCAGCGCCTGAAACACTACAGGCAGTCAGAAGAGAGAGGGAACACTCAGCTGGGTGAGACTGAGGGTGTGTTTTGTGCCTCTTCCTGCATAGTAGATCAGGATTTGGGAGCGTGGTAAGCAGTGAAATAGGTGCTGTTTGTAGGGTCCATATGTAAACATCAGGACCCTGGTGAGGCCAGAGAAGTTTCCCTGATGAGAGTATCAGAGGCAGGATTTCACAGGCTGCCCACCCAGCCAGAGCAGGATTTTGTTACTCTCAGCCTATTTTGCCAGTGGAAAGCAGGGGGGAGCAGGATCTTTCCCTTCACACTAGCATGGTTGTTAGAGCTTCCCAGCCCCTCTGAGCTGCATTCAACAGACCCTTGTGTAGGACTCTGAGCACTGACTCCCTGATGTCCCCTGCTCCTGGGGAGGGTGCCAGGGTGGGACACCCTGCAGAGCAAGCTGCTGTGCCACCTCCCTCGGCCTCAGGCTTGAAGGGGCTGGTTTCAGGGTGCATCCCCCCCATTTCCCAGCCATGCTGCCCACATCCTGCCTCTCCCTGAGGGGACAGCAGCAGCCAGATGCACCTCCCAGTGCTCTGAAGTGCAGCGTGAAGCCAGCAAAGGTGGAGATGCTGCTGGTGACAGCCCCACTCCCTCTCTATTAGGGAAATGCCTTCTAGGAAGGACCAACCTCCTCTCCAAGGAGCAGGCAGCTGGGATGTTGCACTTAGGGCTTTAGATTAATGATTAATGGCTCCATCTGAGATGCTTTTCCCATCTATCACTGCCAAGTGCTGATACTTCCTTCTGTCTCCAGCAGCAGCCTTGTGGATATGAGTGATTTGGAGAGAGCAACCTACAGCCACCACCGCTACCTGTCCAGTGCTCCCCTGCAGAGGTAGGCCACTACGGGGCTGCCTTGGGGGTTTCAGCAAACTCTTAAACACAAATGACTTCAAGGCTTGTTTTGCTTTGTCAGAATACTCATACACTGGTATGAGTTTGGTGAAATAAAAGAGTGAAATGTAAATGATGTTGGGAAAATACACTGACATTAAGATCTGTATCGCCCTGGTGTTGTCCTTGGGGTAATGCATTTCCCTCTGTCACTTGATGCAGTCAGACACAGGTAGGAGCAGGTAGCTCATGGGGGGAGTGGTGCTGGTGGTAGGTAAGGAGCCTCTGATACCAGTGCTGGGCCTGGAACCAGCTTGTGTTAGGGAGGAATTCACACTTCTGTTCCCTCACAGGTCCAGTGAACCTGTCTGCAGCTACTGCAGCCGTGAGATCCGAGACTGCCCCAAGATCATAATAGAGCATCTTAACGTCTGCTGCCACGAATACTGCTTCAGGGTACAAACACTCCTTAGCACTGACTGCCTTCTGTGTGCTGCTGTGAAATGGGGTGGTGGGGGTTGGAATCTGGGTGTTAAATTCTCTCCTCAGACTTTGAGTCATGTATATATAGTCTGTGCCAAATGCTTGCATCCACGCTGGGAAAAAAAGACATCTTGTGTTGTTTGTGTCCCCAAAAGTTTTTCAGTTCCTCACGTAAATGTGTACTAGAATAAGGAGAATTCTTTATTGTCCTCTGGTAGAGCAGCAGCACCCTTTACCCTTTTTCCTCATGTCCTCAACCTTGTGTGCTGCTTTGTGGCCTTTGTGGCCCAGGTCTTGCTGCATCTCAAACCTTGCAGAGTTTACAAGTCAGTGGAAATGGCAAGTGTGGGAGGGGGAAGCCTGCAGTGGCATTAATGTGCTGTAGAGAAGTTCAGCCTCTGTCTGTCCTGCACAGTGCTTTGGTTAGTGTCTGACCACCTGCTTTTCCTTCTGGCAGTGTGGAATTTGCCACAGAGCAATGGGAGATCTTCTGGATAAAATATTCATCCACCGGGACATTGTGCACTGTGACAAGTGCTACGAGAAGCTCTTCTAGGTGAGTGCCCTGTGCAGTGTCAGCACACGTGGCTGGATGAGCAAGCTCTGGAGTTCTCTGAAGAGCATTTAACCCCCACAGCTACTGAGTGACCCATACAGGGATTTTCCTGTGGCTTTTCAGTGGGAAGCAGTGACTGCTGTTGCAGAATTAGCTGGAAACATGGTAGAGCTGATCCCAGGGGCCTGAGTTAGAGCCAGAATCTCTGGCCATTGTGTGGTGAACAGGCTGTGCTAGCTTCATGTGGGGAGACAAGCAGAGGGCAGGCTGCAGTGATGAGAGAAATGTCCCTCAGAGGTGGAGGGTCCTCTCAGAAGGTAATTAGAGGTTCCTCCTCCATCCTGGGCTAATCTGGAGCAGGCTGGGTGCTGTTTGCAGCCAGAACACTCCTCCAGCAAGAGGGCAGCACCAGATGCAGTTACTCCTTTTCATCTCAAAGGATTTTTATGTAAGCCACTGGGAAAACTAGAGAGTTGTATGCTCTGCTGACAGATCACCGAGGGAGTAGGTGGGGTATGGGTTTGTCTGATGATCTGGATGGGGCAGGAGCAAGCACAGTGGCAACCAGAAATGCTGCTGCTGCACTGGGGTTGTAAAAAGAGGCCTCATGGTGGAAAGGAAGAGGAAGAGGGGGGCACCTGCCTCACTGTATGTGCAGTGGCTTTGTTTGCCTCTTACTGCAGTGACCTTGCCAGCCCTTTTCATCCTGTTCCTGCTTTGCTGCTCTCTGTAATGCAGTGTCGTGTGTGGTACCCAGCTCCTGTCCTCACCTGCTGTTTATGTGCTTGCAGGGTTTTGCACCCCTGGAGAAGGCAGCCAGTGGGAAGTCCTCAGCAGCACCTGTCAGAATGCATCTAGCAGTTCCTGACTGGCTAAGAGCAGAATTCCTGCTCCCCCCTTTCCTCAAGTTATTTTCCCTCTTGCTGCCTCATCACGATGAAGAGTTTCACATCCACTGGCTGATGCTGCAGCTGCACCAGGACAAGTGCTGGTGTGCATGAGATAAGGCAGCGTCACCTGCAGAGATAAGTGGGCTGATATTGCGAAGGTGCTGAGCCCCTCCGCCTGTTTTAACTCCATTAGGATTGAGAGTGCTCCCTGTGCTGGAAGCTGGGCAGAGCTCCTTAGGTCTGTCCAAGCTAATTGTGGGAAACCTTTCCTGATTCTGTTTTCCTTTCATTTCTGCAACCAGGCTGCAGCTTGGTGTGTGTGAGCTGGCACGAAGCAAGATACGGGAGGTGTTAAACACTAAATTTGGGTTCTTGGGAGGGTTTGAATTTACTTTTGAGCAAAAGCCTATTTCTACTGCTCTCACCCCCAAATTCTGCCTAGAAATAGCTTCTGCCTGATTCCCATTTGCTTTCCATGGGCTTTCAGGAGCACTTTGCAGACTCACTTTACTCTAATTGTGTGTCAGCTTTAATTTCCCTTTCCTGCCTACGCCCCAGTGGAATGCTGCAGCAGCATGTGTCCCTGCTGCCTGTTTGGGAAGATAATGCTCTTTCACCTGGTAGTTTAACTTGTCCTCTGCTGGTCAGTGTCAAAATTGAACTTCTAGCAGATGCTGTACTCACTCAAGCCAGAATCACATCATTTTAGCCCTTAATTCAGAAGCTGAGAGCTTGAGAAAGGCGAGTGCTGAAACCTTGTCCATCTCTGTGCCGTACAAGTACAGCCCCAAATGTGGCCAGAGAGTTTGTGTTTTCTTTGAAAGCATCATGAGTGTCTGTGAAGCACCTGAGTCAGTTCTGTAGCAGGTCTCACGTGGAAACAAGTGATGGCAAAAGCTCTAATGCAGACTCTTGTTCGCTGAATAATTCTTCGCAAGGGAAGCTTGCGTGGATGCAGCAGCTTAGCAGTGAGTGAGGGGTTTACAGCACAAGTGCCACTTTGCTTTTTTAGGCCATGGTACCAGTTATTTAACTGAGCTACAGGCACAACCTTAGGAGCAACTCCCTGAGGGACCTCCAGCTGAAAGCAGTCACAGCTCCAGGTTGAGACCCTAAAGACATGTCCTCGACGGGGGCATTGGGCAGCTCCATTTGGAGATGGGCCAGCAGGAACCCCCTGATACCCCAGGAGGCACCAAAGTGGGGGTTTCAAAAATGACTACTGATTCTGGCTGTGTTTCTTAAGTTATCAAGATGTTAAAGAGGTCATGGAGCATATCATCTCCTCAAGTCACTCCTTGCTGGGACCTGTAATGGCAGTGGGCAATGATGGCTGCAGCAGCTGTTCTGTGTTTCAAGGGGGGTTGTTTAAAGCACGAGATGAGATGGGCCCGTGAGTCCAGCTGCACCTGAGGAGGTATCTACAGCAGGAGTGTATTCACTGGCTCCAGAGCTCCTGGCGGGTACGTGGCCGCGCAGGGAAGAGGATCCGTGACTGTGCGTTTGCACCATCTCTCCTCAGCACTGTTTCCCTGTAGCAGTGGTTTCTCCTCGGTATCCAACTCCAATAAACAGCCTTTGCTCACGTGCAGCTTCCTCCCGTGTGTCCCTGGTAACCCCCCGCCTGTCCCTGCCCTTTGATCCAACCCTTTGTCTTGGTTTCCAGTGAGAAATCCCTCAGCTCCCGGTACCTGGGCAAGAAACCTGGAGCGGGGCTTGTTGCAAGGGCAGGTAAGGCCAGAGAAGGGGAACGGCTTTAACCTGTCAGCGGGTGCTGAGGC